TGCTTATTTCTGCTTATTTCTGTTTTTACAAAATATATATTTCTGGTTATTTCTGCTTTTTTATTTTATTATTTCTGATTATTTCTGGTTATTTCTGATTATTTCTGGTTATTACTGATCATTTCTGGTTATTTCTGGTTATTTTTTGGTTATTTTTATTATCATTTCTGGTTATTCCTGATTATTTCTGGTTATTTTTATTATTTCTGGTCATTTCTGATTATTTCTGATTATTTCTGATTATTTCTGATTATTTCTGATTATTTCTGGTTATTTTATTTTTTAATTATTTTGGGTTATTTCTGATTATTTCTGGTCATTTCTGATTATTTTTGGTTATTTCTTTTAATTATTTCTGGTTATTTCCGATTATCTTTCTGATTATTTCTGGTCATTTCTGATTATTTCTGGTTATTTCTGATTATTTCTGGTTATTTCTGGTTTACTTTTGATTATTTCTGGTTATTTCTGATTTAAAAAAATATATATTTCTGGTTATTTCTGCTTTTTTTTTTTTTCCAATTATTTCTGGTTATTTCTGGTTATTTCTGATTATTTTTTATTATTTCTGATTATTTCTGATTATTTCTGATTATTTCTGGTTATTTCTGATTATTTCTGGTTATTTCTGATTATTTCTGATTATTTCTGGTTATTTCAGATTTTTTTTAATTTTATTATTTCTGGTTATTTCTGATTATTTCTGGTTATTTCTGATTTTTATTTTATTTTATCATTTCTGGTTATTTATAATTATTTCTGGTCATTTATGATTATTTCTGGTAATTTCTGATTATTTCTGATTATTTCTGGTTATTTCAGATTATTTCTGAATATTTCTGGTTATTTCTGGTTATTTTAGGCTCCGGCCGTCCCAAAAAACGACTTGTTTTTCTCACCTTTAACTGGATTTTTTTGTGGTTTGTTTTTTTTTCTTTCTGACTTTCTCACATGATGTTTGAGGGCTGGGGAGGGGAGAGAAAAAAAACAACCTGTGGAGGGTTTTTTTTTTCTTTCTCTCCTCTTTAGAGAGGGGAAACCACCAGA